GCCCATCAAGGTAAGGATGGCGAAGGTAGGGATACAGCGGGGCGAGTGAGGCTGGGAGGGTGATGCTGAGCATCGGGGAGGGGGGCGGGGGGCGGGGTATGTTCTGTGATTCATTTTCCTCAGGGAGAGCTGGGGGGCGTTTGCCTGGGGACGCTGATTTGGGTGCTGTTTCAGCCAGCCCCCTCTCTCCTTCCCAGCACGACGAGATAGAGCTGTTGGGCCAGGATGGCCACATCTACAGGGGCCAGCGGGGCGAGCAGCTGCCTGTGCTCGTGGGCAAGGAGGGAACGGCTGGGCCATGCTTCAGGAGACGATCCGGCAGGAGTGAAGGGGGCAGTGGAGTGGGCAGGGTGCCCAGTTTTCTCTCCACACATGTTCCCCCTGGCTCCCCTCAGCCCAGCTCCTTCTGCTCCCTCCTGCCAAACGTCCCCAGGGCCAAGCCCAAGCTGTCCCCGAGGCAGTGGGACACCAGGGACACCGGCCGCCTGCTCTCCCGGGCCCAGAGTGCTGGGTCCTCACTTAGCCAGCCAGGTACAGCCCTGCCAGGGCACCGGGGTGAGGGGAGAGGACACCCTGCTGTGTCCCAGTGGGTGGGGGAAAGCAGGGTGGGATGGGGGATTCGGGTGGGGTGGAAGGAGGATGGAGGGGGGGAGGACAGGGAGATGGGTCACCTGATCCCCATGTTGGAGCTAGAGCAAGATGGGGGATGTGGCAGGGTGGTCCTGGCCGCTCTGGGACAACAGCCTGTTAGCTCCAGGGTGGGGACCACGACCCTGTTTCTGGGTGTCTCTGGCCGGGCAGGTGTGCACGGGTGGTGCCTGCCCCAGGGGCTGCAGGGGGGCTAACCCCTACCCCTCACCCCCAGGCACCTCCACCTCACCAGAGACCAGCCCAGCCTCATCCCACGGCCACTCCGCCCAGGAATGGGAGCTCCTCCAGCCCTTGGACAGATCCAGCACCCCGGAAGCCAGGCAGGACTGGGGGGCCCCGACTGAACCCCCACCACATCGTCCACCAAGCAGGCGAGGAAGCATCTCTGGCCAGCATCAATAAAGGGCGATGGGCAGCCAAGCACCTGCGTGGCCTGAGTGGGGTGGCCCTGGGCCGGGATCTTCCCATCATGCATAAGGAGGGGTCGCAGCATCCCTTGTCCTGCAGCCACAGGAGGCCAGAGGAGCTGAAACCAGCCCCTGTCCAACCCCCATCCCGGCGTCTGTGCCAGCCCCGTGCTGCCACACTCCCCCTGACATCCCCTGGCCTCCATGACCCCCTTTTTGGCTCTGATGGCCCCTGGCACGGAGCTCGTGGACCCCAAAAGGGTCTGGGGGAGCCCACACTAAAGCAGGAGGAGGATTACGCTCCATTGCTGCTGAAGGTGGTGGGAGATGTAGGGACTGTGGTTGGAGATGGGGACCGCAGTGGGAAGGGTGGCAGCAGGACATGGCTTCACGCCAAAAGCCAATCCCACCCCAAGCCCGCTGGTTTGCTATTGCTTATCCTGCGGGATGAGCATCACTGAGCAGGATTCCTTATCTGCTCATGGATTGTCACCCCCTTGTCCCCTTCCACTGCTGCCATTGATGGAAAGAGGAAGGCACTGACCCCACTGCTGCCGGGCTCGGGGCAGCTGATGATTCCCACCTCCGGAGTGAAGCACCATAACCCCACCAGCCATGGGGACACACATCCCCTCCTTTCTCTCATGCCACCCCTATTGCTTGGGGCTACTTTTCCCCAGCCCCTTTCTGCCACCCCTCACCATCAGATGGGAGAAAGGCCCATGGCATGCTGAGACCTGGCATAAGTCATGTCACAGATGGAGAGGTACCGGGCAGGGAAACTGCAGTCCCTGGAAGCAACATGGTGGGGGGACCTGGGGGTGTCACAGCACAAAGTGTAAAGTGCCGGGGACAGCCCCAACTCCCCCGGGCACACACGCAGTGACATGGAGGGGGGGGGGACAGACACCAAGCGGGTGGCACCGCTCGGGTGAGTGGGAGGGTGGGAAACCCTGAGGGGAACCCCAGAGTCAGCCTGGGGGGACCCAGGCACCTGGGGAGCATCCCCTCACCCCGCCATGGTGTGTGCTGGGGGCTGCTCTGTGGAAAAACTGCTCCCCTACCTCTCCCTAAATTCAGGCGAGGAAGCACCCAAAGCTCCCCCCAACAATGGCAGACCCCATCCCTGCCCACCTCACTGCAGGCTCCAGGCACCTGAGCTCCAGCCGGGGATGTTTCCCCTGGTGGGTTTGGTTTTTCAGGGGAAAACTAGGTGCTAAATACCTGCTTTGGGTGCCCAGGTGGTTCCATCAGGATCTGGGATTCCCTCCGTGCCACCTCCAGCGGGATGACTGGGAGCACTCAGAGCAAACTGGTGGGCACTAGAGCAGAGCCAGCAAAGGACCATCCTGCACCCCAGGACGGGGGGGTCAGGCATTGATGGGCTTAACAACGCATTTGCAGGATTTGGCCCAGCTGGGGCTGAGCCCTTTGCTGCGTGCATGTGTGTGTGTCTGTGTGTCCCCCAGCTCAGCCCCTCTCCCACCCACTGTCCCATTTGCTGCTGCTGGGACCCCGCTGTGCCCTATAAACACCCCCACCCCCACCACGAGCACCCAGCCCCATGTCCCTTTTTGGGTGCTGCCTGCGCTGCTGGAGCAGGCGAGTAGACCCAGCTGGGGCATTTTTTTTCCTTTTTTCTTCTGAGGTTGGGCCATGTTGGGGGTGTAATAAAACCTATATGATATTTGTTATTCAAATCTCAAGTTATGGTTAAATACATTATTCAGCAAATTAAATATAAAAAGGAATTGTGTTAACATCAGATTGCATTGTAACGGAACTTTGTTGTGGTCAGACAGTGTTATGGTTCTAAATGTTTTTGCACTTTACATGTAACCTAAGGTTTAAAAGGAGATAAAGCATTACGTGTATAGTTTTTTATGGTTAAAATCAGTTGTTAAAAGGGAGTTAAAATGGCCGCCGTCCTCAGGCCAAACGGTGTTATGTCCAGCCCTGTCTGGCCCATGGATACCTGCACACCCGTGCTGAGCCGTCCCCTCCTCCCCACGGTGGAAAGCCGGCGAACCTTCCCTGGCAACAAAAACCCCGCGAAGGAAAAGTTGTTGACGACTTGCAAACCCCTCAGGGAGAACCCCACCCTCATGAATATTCATGAAGCCTGCACTTTAAAAGGACTCTAAAAGGACACTAAAACTCTAAAAGGACACTAAAACAAATTTGAAGGTGGTTGTTATGGATTAATCATAATTTGAAATGAAATCACCACCTTCAGATTTGTTTCAGTGGTCAGTAAAATTTATTAGCAAGCGAAAGTGAGCAAAAGAGCGCTGGGTGTGCCGGGGAGTCTCTGCTCCACCAAGGCACACACCTTACATCCCGAAACGGAGTCCTTTCAAAGGACAAATTGGTGCCGTGACTCGGATCACGGTTTCCCGGCAGAGTCTCATACTGGGGAGGCGCCCCGCTGAATTCCAGTGGCCCCCGCCTGCAGACTGGTCTGCCGGAGCCCCGACCGACGAACCCTAAAATTCGGCAACAAGCAAAAGAACACAGGTTAACCCCATAATCTTTGTGCACGAAGTCCCGGACGAAGACGCACAGGGTTGTGTGAGTATAGGCCGGTTTTCCGTTCGGTTGGGGTTGGGTTGCCTGGAGCGTGGTGTGTGAGACGCCCAGTAGGGCGAAGCGAGTGCGGACCCCTCGGTAGTGCGGGTCCCATATCCCGCGAGGGACTGGGCCACGAAAAGGGCAAGTAGAGTGTGTGAGTGTGTGCAGACGCTCCACAAGATGGGACAGAAGAAGAGCAAGCCTTCTGATCCCATGGGGGTGGTGTGGGAACCCAGGCGAGGTACCCTCAGACACCACCGGATAGCCCTTTAGGATTGATATTAACAAATTGGGAAAATTACCCCTCTAGGCGGGGTAAGGACAAAGTAAAAATGATTTATTATTGTATGGAAGTTGGGGGAGGCAAACAGATTAGAGGAGACCATCTTTATTGGCCTGTTTTCAGGTCTTTTGAAGAGTGGGTCTGCCAAGCTTTGAATATTTATGTTAATTCAAAGGAACCTTTTAATTTGGAAGAAAGCGAGTATGCACACGTATGGATGACATCAGATACTCGAGTAAAATTATACCCTCTTAAAGAGGGTAGAGGGGAAGTCAAAAAAAAAGAAGAAACGTACTGAGGATGAAATCTATACCTCACTCCCTCCTTACGTTCCTCCCCCTCCGCCCTCAGCACCTTCACCACCCCCGACCACACCAGAAGACTCAGGAGATTTGGATTCCCCACAAGATTCTCCAAGGGAGCAAAGGAGAATAACTCGGGGTCAGATTAGAAGGGGGGGGTGGAAATACCAGTTTATACCCCTTAAGGGAGGTGGCTATGGGGAGACCCCAGCTAGGTGTAGGATACGTGGCAGTTCCCCTTAACTCAGGGGATGTCAGAGAATTTAAAAAGGAGATGGGAAATCTGCTGGAGGACCCTCTGGGTGTGGCAGAAAGAGTAGATCAGTTCTTGGGACTAAATATTTACACTTGGGATGAAATGCAAGCCATAACAGCAATATTGTTCACTGCTGAGGAGAGAGAGATGGTTAGGAGGGCAGGAATGAGGATTTGGGACCAACAGCATCAACAGGGTCCGGCAGCAGATGGAAAATGGCCTCTGAATAGACCTAACTGGAATAATCAGAATGAGATCGATAGAGGCCACATGCAAGACCTAAGGACAATTGTAGCCCAAGGCATAAGAGAATCAGTCCCTAGGGGACAAAACATAAACAAAGCCTTTAGCGAACACCAGAAAAAGGATGAAACCCCTACTGAGTGGTTAGAAAGGCTGAGAAAAAACCTTCATCTCTACTCGGCAATAGATCCAAATACACCAGTGGGACAGGCATTGTTAGAAACACAGTTTGTGGCAAAAGCCTGGATAGATATTAGAAAGAAATTGGAAAAGATGGAGGATTGGCAGGATCGGGGGTTGGACGAATTACTCAGGGAAGCACAGAAGGTTTGTGTTCGGAGGGAGAATGAAACCCAGAAACGACATGTTAAAATGATGGTAACTGCGATAAGAGAGGGACAGAGAGTGGATGGGGGTGGAAGAAAACAAGGAGGTCAGAGAAAGGGATCGAAAGAATCGGAAGGGGGGAGAGAAAGGAGGGCCATTAACTGTTTTTATTGCGGAGGTAGAGGCCACACAAAGAACAGCTGTAAAAAGAGAATGATGGATGAGAGAATGTTTAAAGAGGACTAGGGGTGTCAGGGGCTCTTCTTACTGGTGTCAGGGGCTCTTTTTACTGGGGACTAAAGAAAAAACTGAGCCCTTGATAAAATTAAAAGTGGGTCCCCAACAACAAGAGACAGAATTTTTTGTGGACTCAGGAGCAGAAAGATCTACCGTTCAGTCACTGCCCCAGGGGTGTGAGATCTCATCAGAAAAAGTACAAGTGGTTGGGGCAAAAGGGGAACTGTTTGGAGTACCCGTAATCAAAGATGTGCTCCTTGAAACAGATTCCAAGATAGGGATGGGATCCTTATTGCTTGTACCTGAGGCGGACTATAACTTGTTGGGAAGAGATTTAATGATCGAATTAGGAATTAGTTTGGAAGCAACCCAACATAACCTCAGAATTAAACTATACCCCTTACGGGTTGAAGATGAAACCAAAATAAACCCTGAAATATGGTACACCCCTGACACTGTAGAAAAATTGGGTATCGAGCCTTTTATGGTGACCTTCCAGAATCCTGAGATATCAGTAAAAATTAAACAATATCATATATCTCAGGAGGGAAGGCAAGGATTAAAACCAGAAATTCAGAGATTGATAAAGCAGGGATTACTGGAGCCCTGCATGTCTCCTTTTAACACCCCCATATTGCCTGTAAAAAAGGCAGATGGGAGTTATAGATTAGTCCACGACCTAAGGGAAATCAACAAAAGAACTACAACTAGATTCCCTGTAGTAGCTAACCCACACACACTTTTAAGTCAATTAGGCCCGAATGACCGGTGGTACAGTGCAATAGATTTGAAGGATGCTTTCTGGGCATGCCCCCTTAAAAGGGAATGTAGGAATTATTTCGCCTTTGAGTGGGAAGACCCGGATACTCACAGGAAAACCCAGCTCCGGTGGACAGTCCTCCCTCAGGGGTTCACCGAATCCCCAAATTTGGACAAGCACTAGAACAGATCTTACAAGATTACCAGGTAGGAGACACTCTCACCCTGGTCCAGTATGTAGATGATCTTCTAATCGCAGGGGAAGATGAAGACATGGTGCGAAAAGAAAGCATCAGGCTACTAAATTTTCTAAGCTTGAAGGGACTAAAAGTGTCTAGATCTAAGTTACAATTTGTAGAAAAAGAAGTTAAATACTTAGGGCATCGATTAAGCCAAGGAACTAAGAAGCTGGATCCAGAAAGAGTTAAGGGAATACTTTCCCTTCCACGCCAGAAAACTGAAAGACAGGTCCGACAATTATTAGGATTATTTGGGTATTGCAGACAGTGGATCGAGGGGTACATTGGAAAAATAAAGTTCTTATACAACAAAATAACTAAAGATGGATTATTAAAATGGACCCAGGAGGACGATGAACGGTTAGAGGAATTAAAAACTGATTTAGTGAATGCTCCTGTTTTGAGTTTGCCTGATTTAAAAAGACCATTCTTCCTGTTTGTTAACATAGAGGAAGAAACTGCATTTGGAGTACTGGCTCAAGAATGGGCAGGGAAAAAGAAACCAGTAGCATATATGTCAAAATTGCTAGATCCTGTCAGAGGTGTGTTACAACGAAAGGCAGACAAATGGATAACCGATGCAAGATTGGTCAAATATGAAGCAATTCTCATTACATCCCCCCACCTAACTCTTGAAACCACATCATTACAAAATCCAGCCCATTTTTTATATGGAGAACCTAATGAAAATCTTTTTCACAATTGTCTTAATAATATAGAAGAGCAAACTAAAATAAGGCCAGATTTGGAAGAAGAAGAGTTGGAAAAGGGAGAAAAATTATGTGTAGATGGGTCTTCTCGGGTGGTGGAGGGAAAAAGAAAATCAGGATATGCCATAATCAACGGAAAAACCTTCGAAGTACTAGAGTCAGGACCCTTGAGCTGGTCAGCACAGGCATGTGAATTATATGCTCTATTAAAGGCTTTACAATTACTGAAAGGAAAAGTAGGAACAATATATACAGATTCTAGATATGCTTTTGGGGTGGTACATACCTTTGGAAAAATCTGGGAGGAGAGAGGTTTAATTAATTCCCAGGGAAAAAGTCTGGTACATCAGGATTTGACAGTACAAACCTTACAAGCTGTACGGGGGCAGCCGAAATAGCAGTAGTACATCTAAAAGGACACCAGAGGGGGCTAAGTCCTCTCATCAGAGGAAATAACCTTGCTGATCAGGAGGCAAAAAGGGCCGCTTTGTTAACATTACATTTAGACGACCCCACAGAAGCTAGAAAACAGTGCGTTAATTGTGGAGATGAATTCCTCCCCTGCTACGATTGTTGGAAAGATTTTGGAGCAGATGGCATAGAATGCGTATGCGAAAGGCCAGGTATTGGGTGGTGTTTCTTCCATGGGGAAACCTTTCAGGTCCTAAGCTTTACTATACATGAAGAAGGAAAACTGAAACAAATTGGAAATTGAGCAAAAACCAAACGGGAAGCGGGAACTTCCGGATGGCCGAGAGGTCCTCCCAAAACCTGTAGCTACGGAAATAATACGACAATTTCACCAAAAGACTCACTGGGGAACCCAAGCGTTAGTAGATCAATTTGCAACTAAATATATGTATATTGGGATATATGACATAGCCAAAGGAGTGGTGGGAGAATGCCTCATTTGTCAAAAGGTAAATAAACACCAGATAAGAAAACAAGTGCATGGAGGAAGGAATTTGGCTCAAAGACCTTTTTGCGAGAATACAAATAGACTTTACTGAATTACCAAAAGTAGGAAAATACAGATATCTATTAGTAATAGTAGATCACCTGACCCATTTTGTAGAGGCCTTTCCCACGGCACGAGCCACAGCTCATACGGTAACAAAAATACTACTTGAAGAAATTATACCTCGGTATGGAAGAATAGAAGTAATAGATTCAGACAGAGGCCCACACTTTGTATCCAAGGTGGCTAAAGAAACTTTGGCTGCCCTGGGTACACGGTGGCAGTATCACACCCCGTGGCACCCTCAAAGTTCAGGAAGGGTTGAACGCATGAATGGAGAAATAAAGAAACAACTTACCAAATTAATATTAGAAACAAAAATGTCTTGGGTAAAATGTCTCCCCTTGGCTCTATTAAATATTAGAACCCAGCCCTGAACTGATGTAGGGATCTCTCCCTTTGAAATGTTATATGGAATGCCCTATGATTTGGAAATGCCCCCTGATCACCCTCAAATTAAAGATGCAAGAATAATATTCTACCTAATACAACTAATGGCAAGGAGAAAACAGCTGCAAGCCCGAGGGATGGTGGTACAGAGCCCTCCTTTGGACATGACAATGCATCGAATTCAACCAGGAGATAAAGTATTGATTAAATCATGGAAAGAATCTTCCTTAACCCCCCGCTGGGAAGGACCCTATGTTGTTCTTATCACTACAGAAGCTGCTATTCGAACTGCTGAGAAGGGGTGGACGCATGCCAGTCGTGTGACAGGACCTATACGAGATTCATCCTGGCAGGTGACCAGCTCTCCCGGAGATCTACGAGTCACCCTTCGAAAGACCTAATGCGAACATTGTGAAAAGCAAGGTACAAGACACCACAAAAGGACTCAGTAAGTGAGATGTTAATATTTTGTCAGTCGAAACCCGTAGCTGTTTCCTTTTCGTGTGTATAGAATACAATATATGTAAAGAAGGCTGGTGGATTCATAATACATTTGAGGTGAACTTCCGATCCAGTCGTCATCAAGATTACTGACTAGAATGGTGACTAACTAACTGGGCCTTAAAATTAGATTAACAACAGAGAAGGCAATTGGAAAACTCTAAAACTTGGTGGGAAGTAGATAAAGGGGGAATTTATATAGATATACATATATATATATACATATATATACACACTCTCACCTTAATTGGCCTACAAACCAGGAGGCCTATGTAGACCAGAGTAGAGGTAAAACGTACCCCTGAAGAATACGACTGCTGCTGAGAAGATTAAACACACTGCTGCTCTATGCAACAGAGTAGGCAGAGACGTACACCAGTGGGGAAAAATCTTAAAACCGTACTCTGAGAGAAAAAGGCTCCCAAAAAGCAAAGGCCAGAAAGAGGTGCAAAACACCTTGACTCTACAGGAGCAATGTCCCCCTTCTATAGAAGTTATAAAAATTTTCAGAATCCTACCAACCTTCTATTT